AACAAATTTTTTAAAGATAAATAAAATGTAAATAAATAAAAATCGCATTACTATATTAAAGGAATAATTTTTAATTATTCACTTTCAGTTTATAATTATTAAATTATTTGTGGAATTTAAGATATTTAAAATGCATTTAATGCTTTATAATTACATTAACTCGAAGATTTTACGGTAGAAAAGTTTAATTTCGAACAATTTTAGTCTCAAGACTATTATAAAAATGTCAAAAATTCAAATATTAACAAAAATTAATTATTGAAATTACATAAAATATAGAAAAAAATAATAATAATTTTTTTTCCTGGAATTAAATCTCATCCGAAGAAATAAGAAGATGGATAAATGATAAAAAAATTCTTGATTATAATATTTAATTGATCAATTATAATTACTGTACAGTACGTGCTATCATTTATCATAATTATATATATATATTTTTTTGCATAACACTTAGAAATCTACTACAGTTTTTTTAGGAATTCCAGATAAACTTTAACAGATTTCTGGAAATATATAAATCTGTTCACCGAGTGAGAATGAACAGATAAGCTACAGAAATTAAAAGAAAATTATGAACATTATCATTCGGTAAGAGTTCAACGAAAAGTTGTTGTCTGTGAATTTATGTGGAACTAATATATAATAATAATAATAATAAGAGGAAAAAAGACAGAAGAAACAAGCCAAAATATTGGAACTTCACCAGCTAGATAGAAGAAAACTAGTTTATATCTTTACGCTTAATGAACATTTGAACTTATCTAACCGATTAATGTAAATCAAACGTCGAGGAAACTGAACTCTAAAAGAATTTTTATATCATAGTTGTATAAAATTTATATTAAATCTAAATAAATTTATCAAGATAAAAATGTCACATTACTTCTTTATATGTCTCCTCCCGTTTTCATAGCAACGCGTGTTTTTTATCGGATCAGTTCTTCGACTCTTACTTAACGGTCTCTCACCTCGATTTTGATACATCAATCTTTATCGCTATTCACACCCTTTTAACTTTCTGAATAAGACTAAACTCTCACAGGGTTTCTATCATCTGAAATAGCCAATGCCCCATTACACTTCGCATCTTACACTTAAAATTTCAACTAAATCCGTATTGAATTTCCTTGAATATTTTTTATTTATATATATATCATATATATATATATATATTAATAATATACA